TTACTTCAACCAATAGACAAAACAAAGACAAATACTGACTTCAGGGTATTAGTTTAGCAGAATTGGCAGCAACCGAACAAATTTACTTTCAACCAAAAGACAAAACAAAGACAAATACTATTTCACAGTGTTAAAGAATACGGAGTTTAGCAGAATTGGCAGCAACCGAACAAATTTACTTTCAACCAAAAGACAAAACAAAGACAAATACTATTTCACAGTGTTAAAGAATACACAGTTTAGCAGAATTGGCAGCAACCGAACAAATTTACTTTCAACCAAAAGACAAAACAAAGACAAATACTATTTCACAGTGTTAAGAATACACAGTTTAGCAGAATTGGCAGCAACCGAACAAATTTACTTTCAACCAAAAGACAAAACAAAGACAAATACTATTTCACAGTGTTAAAGAATACACAGTTTAGCAGAATTGGCAGCAACCGAACAAATTTACTTTCAACCAAAAGACAAAACAAAGACAAATACTATTTCACAGTGTTAAAGAATACACAGTTTAGCAGAATTGGCAGCAACCGAATAAATTTACTAAGCAATCTAAGTGAAATGGCTAATCTAAGTGAAATTACGAGTAAATTTATCATTAAGTTAAATATGGAAAATCTTAAACTTACCTCGTTGCGTAGAGTATGAACCTCATTCTGCAACGATACTATCATCTCACGTAGAGCGGCAACCTCACCACGTAAAGTTGACACCTCCACACGCCATGCACCATCGTTATCGCGTAGAGTACCGATCTCCTCACGCAAGGCATTGACCTCATCACGTAACTCCCTTGACTCATCCCGTGGAGGTGGAGAACAGGGAGATAGGAGTCGTGGCATCTTTGCCGGTCGCCTATCATGAGGTGATGGTGGAGAAGAGGCTCGATGATGTGACGGGATAGGTGATGGCTCTCGTTCTAGAGGTGTATAGTCGGGTCGATCGGGTGATGGCTCTAGGTGAGGTGATGGCTCTCGAATTGGAGGAAGTGGATGCTGCTCATCATCCGTGCCATCAAAAAAACTCTGACTAGCTTGCCACCAATCAGTGGCAAGCTCTTCCTCCGTGGGTGTCAGTCTTTGTAATGGAATGTTGGCCTCCTAACAATATAAAAACTCAAACAAAGTTAAACGTCTACTATTAATAACTTGTTTATATATTATATGAAAGTATTTGTGTTAACTTACATTATTTATTGTCGCATATGGTATTAAGTCTTCCCAATCCAACAGATTTTTCCTCTTCCAGGAAATAGCCCTGGGAATATCATTTGACGTTTTTATTGCATATGTACGCATGCTGGGGAAAGCCTCGAATATCCAAATCTACAAACAATATAATAACAAAATTAGTAATTGTTAAATAATTAATTATAATTTTAGAAACATTATATAGAAATTCTTACCTTAAAGGCCCAAACAAAGCCTGACAAAGTGTATTTCGACCCATCGCCACGCAAACTTTTGCGGTCATCAAAGGCAGTAGACAACTTAGTCCAGGTAGCTTTCCATATATACGAACCCCATGGAAATAGATTCCATGCATTCAGGTCCTCTACCAATATTATTAGCTCCCGAGGAATAGGTTGTCTGGCCTCTCTGCCTAAAAAGCCGGCATACACAAGTAGTAGAAGGCATACTCGGACAACATCGACGTCATCCATCCGAGTGAAACCAGCTTTCTTATTAAACAATTTCTTCAGGTCGTCGACGTGTAGGTTCGGCTTCTCCATTGACTCATCCGGAAAAACCCGGGATAACCATGATGGGCGGGCGATATGACGAGTGTACCGGCCTACATCATCGTGTCCGAATCGTAGACCAGTGATTAAGCAGAACTCCTTCCACCCAAAACAAGTATACGCTGGTGGAAAATGAAACCATATCTCTTCCTCACCACGTTGTATACTGTCGGGTAGATTTGATGTCATGGTCTGAAGCCACAAATGGGTCAAATTAGCATCTCCACCCGGATGCTGTACTCTCAGCCATGGCCCGAAGCAGGTTTCCTCAAACAATTGTCTTTGTGCAGGTGAAAGCTTCGAAGCAATTGTAGTGGCTAGGCTGACTTTATTCCTTAATGTCAATGAAGCCGAAAAAAATTTCTACAAAAACAATAAACATACCAAGTTAGATATACCAAAAACTACACTGTGAATATATACCAAAAACAATAAACATAAAAAGTAGTAGTTTATTCTTGAAACTAAAATTTGCAGCACTGTTTTGTCTTTTGGTTGAAATGAAAATCGCAACGAGAGAATGACTGTCGCAACGAGAGAAATGAAAATCGCAACGAGAGAATCGCAACGCGAAATGAAAATCGCAACGAGAGAATCGCAACGCGAAATGAAAATCGCAATGCGATTTTGGTTTCGCGTTGCGATTCTCTCGTTGCGATTTTCATTTCGCGTTGCGATTCTCTCGTTGCGATTTTCATTTTTCTCGTTGCAGATAGTCATTTTCACGTTGCGATTTTCATTTATCTCGTTGCGACTCTTCTGCAAATTGAAACTTGAATGGATTGCATTACTTCAACCAAAAGACAGAACAAAGACAAAGACAAATAATAACTTGAAAATCGCAACGAGAGAATAGCAACGCGAAATGAAAATCGCAACGAGAGAATCGTAACGCGAAATGAAATATAAGTGAAATGGTTAATCTATTATTGAAATGACCAGTAAACTTATCATCAGTTTCAATATGAAAAACCTACAATAATGCAAAAATTTCAAAATAAAAATAATTAAAAAAACTAACCCTCGGAGGTTGATTTTCCATTTCTGAATATTGTGAGGGATTTCTGACCGTGAATGGTTGTGAGGGATTTCGCCGGAGATGGGGACGGAAATCTTCGGAGATGGGGACGGATTTCGCCGTAGAGAGTGAGAGATGGAGATGTGACTGAGTTGTGATTTTAGGTTTTAGGTTATGAGTTGCGATTACGGGATTTTGTCTTAATATTCGTTTTTGTAATTTGAAAATAAAATACGCGTAGCGATTATAATGGCGCTTTAAAAATCGCGTTGCGATTTACGGATACGCGTTGCGATATACGGATACGCATTGCGATTTACGGATACGCGTTGCGATTTACGGATACACGTTGCGATTTATGTGTTCGCGTTGCGATTTTCATATTCGCGTTGCGATTATGGAAAATCGCAATGCGAATATGAAAATCGCATTGCGATTGTCAAGAATCGCGTTGCGATTTTGGAAACTGATTTGCGATTCTGGGGATCGCGTTGCGATTTTTATTTCGCGTTGCGATTTTGTTGGTCATTTTGGCAAATCCAAAAAAAGTTGGTTAAAATCGTATATTATAAGGCATTTTTGGTCACTGAGGCGATTTTCTCTAAATAATATGTTTATAGGAGTGTAGATGAATCGAGTTTAAATAAATAAAAATGTATTCATGTTTGTTTGATTATTTTAGAAAATGTTAATCTTCGGTTCGTATTCGTTAAAACTTTTAATATAATATTTGTTTATTTTTTTTAAAGATATTCGTATTCAGTTCGTTTAGCATTCGCTAACATGTTCGTTTAACATTCTCGAACATATCAATGGAAAAGTTATGCTAGTAGTCCTTAAGCTTTTTAAGATTCACAATTTGAACACCAAAGTTTACCTTGTGTTCAATTTAGTCCCTACATTCATCAATATTTAAAATGTAAAAAAAAATATTTAGGTAAGCGTGGTTATAAACGACTGGATAAATGAGTTTGTTTGTAAACATAAACGAACTGAATACATATATGTTTGTGACCATTCAATTATTAAATAGAAGATAAAAATTTATTCGCACTCGTTTATTTAACTTAATAAACGGACATAAACGGTTCCATTTTGAATAATATTTTGAGTTTGAATGGGAAAAGTCTAACAAATGGTTCCACTTTGAAAGTTGCATAAAGCTTCAAGTTTCATATGCCCACCATGTTAATTGTGAAATTACATCTTCACCAATTTTAGCTTTTCTACTGTAGAAAACACCAAACAAGAGGTCAAATGCGCGGTGTGCCAATTGCTTCTAGTTTAGTAAAACTAGATAAAGTTAAATTAACTCTGCAGTCAACACTAATAGTTCATTGCACCTACGGGGTTTTAAATTTGTACTTGTTTTGTTAAAGGATTATTTTCAAGTCAAATGTTAGAAATTTTAGATAATCTAATAAAGATTTACAAATTGATTACTTCTTCCTTTCGAATATTTGGAAGTTTTTGGCTTCTTAATTTATGCATGCAAATGTACCAAGTCTAAAAAATCCTCCTAAATGAAAAGTTCAAAATAGCTGTATTGGTAAAAAACCATTAACGATAATGTTGATGTGACATGATATGCTAATTTTTTAATTTTTTTAAATTTTCATATCACTTTTCTTTTTTTTCGTCAATATTTTTTAATTAATTTTATTTAACTAATTAAATAATGACACGATTCACCAACTATGGGGATAAATAAAAGAAAGTATTCTTACTCTTAGCATGAATTAAACCTAGTACTCTTACATGAAATGCATAACACTCAACTATTGAGCTAAACTAGTAATTTAAGTTAATTTCACCCCATTTTATGCCTAAAAGGAATTTATGGCTACACCTCCAATCTTAGGTTAATAATTTTTGAAATATGGCAAATTGAGACTTCTCTATTTTTTTTTTATTGTTGAAATACGTTTTAGGAATCCATTTTTAAAATTACACAAAATTAATTTTTAACCATTCACTTGTTTTGTTTAAGTACTTCCTAGATCTCACTAATTCATTAACCCTTGACCCTCAGTTGCTCAAGGTCATTGTCGTCTTGGTAACTACTTGCTATACCATTTCTAATATGAACAGCTGAAGTTGAAGGGATAGTAAAGAGCAAATCAATCAAACTAAAGAAGAGAGAATTCAGCACACAGGGTTCAGTTTATGGGCCGTTGGTCCTAAATATTTCACCACAAATGCTAAATGCATTCAAGAAAATAGTCTGTGTACATTGTCCATATGAGCACTACTAGAGAAACTGTTACTTGTCCGTATTACAGGACAGCTTTAAGCCTATTTAACAGTGAAAAGAAACAAACCAAATTTCTTGTTTCACATGGTGGGGGCACTAATACGATCCATGACAAAAAGAAGTAGCAATTCCTGCCCAGGTGGTTAGCCCATCCCCCGGTCCCCTCCGTGATCAGTGGACAGGCTATCACGGAGCACCTCCTGCCTTGCCATCATTAATGCATAATATTTTTTGCCCATAAGTTAGGGTCACTGTCAGTTGAATGCAACTTTGATGGGAATGATATCATTTCTTCACCTAATAATAGTCCACTGGTGTGGCTGGACAGCTTTCATCTGATACTCTACGAAATGGTGGAGGTACGTATGGAGGGGTTGTGCATCTTAGCAATGCCCAGTTGATCCCTTGAAAGAATGGATGGTGCTTGATGGCTGATGCCCCCATTGTTGACCCTAACCGCCTTGCAGGATCCTTCACCAGTAGCTGCAACATAAGATCCTTGGCAGCAGCGGCAACCGCTGGTTCTTTGGGGAACTCGAGGGCTCGAGCCACAATGTTAGCCAAGGTTAACTCATGGTCCACGCCCTTGAATGGTGTAACCCCGTAAAACAGTTCAAACATAATTACCCCCACTGTCCACCAATCCACGGGGCTACCATGACCCTCGCCGGACACAATTTCCGGTGCCAAATACTCATGAGTCCCCACGAAAGACATGGACCGGACATCAATTGGCTCAGCCACAAACTCAGGCCCACCACGGTGAACAGTCTTCCTCTTGCGTTTGCGTTTTGGGTGGAAACATGACACTGCAGGTACTATGCAATTCGGAATCATGCACGAAGAGGGCTGATCAATAGTATTCTTGGTTTGTGGAGCCTGAAACGATGGTTTTCGATCCAAAATAACTTGGGGTGTCGACGTAGAATCGTCGCATTTTAATGAGAGGTCAAAATCGGTGAGCATAATGTGACCATCTGCTCGAACAAGCACGTTTTCAGGCTTTAGATCACGGTAAACGATACCCAACATGTGAAGGTACTCTAGAGCTACAACCATCTCAGATGCATAGAACCTGGAGAGACCAAGAATAAAAACTTGTATTAATAAAATCCGGTGAATGTCCGGCTAGGGAAAAGAAAGCGTTAGGACATGAAAGAAAAACACGATTACAATATGCATATAAAAAATTATTCGATATCAATCATGTAATGCATACAGAAGCCATTTGCCATCAATCATGCAACTACTCATTATCAAACCGGAAACATTTGTTGTCTTTTTTCTTTAAAACTTTACTTGCCGAAACACAAAATCCTTACCGAGTCGAGCTAAAATAGCGGCGGCTATAAAAACATCTTATTACCATTGAACGGCTAGGTGGCACAGTACAGACATGACACTATAACAAAAAGATCTAGGGTCCGAGAGAGAAACGAAAAAGACGGGGTCTTCCGCCATCAAAGCCTAAACTTTGAAAAATAAATCCCAGAAATCTGGCAGAAGAAACTGGAATTCAGATTTTCCGGGTTCAAAAACAAAACTCACATGCCGGATTCTCAGAAAAAAAGACGTAGGGAAGTTTTCTTTTTTAAAATAACAACGTTAGCTGTTAACAGGAGAATATACCTGACGGAGGATTCTGAGAAACGTTTGAGGGGTTGGCGTTGACGGAGGATGTGAAGGTCGCCGCCTGGACAAAACTCCGTTAACAAACAGAGCCATCTAGGTGAATCGATAGCGGCGTAAAGCGACGGTAGAAAAGGATGGTCCAATAATTTCAGTATTTCCACCTCAGTCCTAGCTCTCCCTTCTTTACTCCTGGAAGCCAGCTCTTTCTTGTCCATCACTTTGGCTGCAAAAACGACTTGGCTTCTTCTGCTATTATCGTCACTGTTGTTCTCGTTTGTGTCAACCGCATTCGGGTCGGGAGGTAGTGGTGCAGGAGACTTGAGTTCGGCTAAGTAGACGGAGCCTATATCACCGGAGCCGAGACGAAGAGAGAAGTTGAGATCGGCGAGGGAGAGGGTGCAGGAGCGTAGATGTTTAGAAGAGAAGGAACCGTGAGCGGAAGGAGAGAGAGAGGAAGACCCGGAGTTAGAGGCGGAGCCCGAACTGGTGCTGCGGTTTACGGCGGCGCTGGAACATGAGGTGAAGCTTAGGCTTTGGAGATCGTCGGCTAAGTCGTCGAGCCAGGGCTCCATTGTGAGAGTAAAAGAGATGGAGCGAGGGCAGGAGACAAATGGAGAGGAAAATTGAGAAAAGGGCAGATTGGTCGGGTCCGGTCGGGTCGGGCCACTAGATGATTGGTTGGATTTTGATTCTTCGGCTCCTCTTAAAGGAGCGTTAGCCGTTAATTCAATAAATGGGTGAAAGTCAATTATAGGATTTAGTGATTTGTTATTATTATTATTATTATTGTTTTCCTAAAAAAGAAAATTAAAAATTTTGATAATTATAAGATATATTTTAGAAATAATATATGAGAAGGAAAGAAAGCAACAAAACAGGCATGATATTGATGATATATTTATGCTCCCAATTCTCCGAGACGTTTGTTGTAGTTTCAAATTTTAAAACGGAAAATTACTCAAATTCAGTTGAAGGTAAGAATAAAAAAATATTTATTTCCCATAGTTGAAAAATAATTATTTAAAATATTATTTTCTCTAAAATAAATACAAATTATAAATTTAGATATTAAAATTCAATTTTATATTATAAATGAAGAATATGTTCGTTTTATGATGGTTAAGATTTTATCATTTATTTTTTAGCGAATTCAGATTTGTATATATATTAGTATTCGGCGTATAATTTTAAATTTTAAATTATCATTTTTATGAATTTGAATATATGACATATAATAATATTTTAATTTGAATTCAAATTTTATCTAAATAAGTAAATTTATTTGTGAAGTTTTATACATCACATATTTTTTTTTCTATTTTTAGTAACTCTTTTTTATGAAATATTTTCTTCTTTTATTTGATACTTTTTCTCTGCATTTTAGTACATTTTTTTTAATTTTTTTATCGGACGCTTGATTGTTCTTTTCGCTTATCTTTTTTTAGGGTTGTATTTAACGTCGTCTCAACTAATCAAAATGACTCTTATTTATTATCCCGGTGATCTTCTATGTTTTGGTTCATTGGATTAGATTTAGATATACTGTTTGTATTTGTGGGTAGTTTTCTCATGTCGTCGAGTCTAATTTACAGTTTATCGGTAATCTTTTAGTAGTTTCATCCTATTTCGTGGTTCGTTTGTCGATGCATACAAATTTATTGTTATTTATCTTTTGTTCAAGTTTTTGGGTTGAGTTTTTAACCTTTTCTCCTATAGTCCTTATATGATCTTATGCACTGGTGGATGTATGTGAACCCATGGTGGGCACATGCCCACCCTGTAATCCAAATTTCTTTATATTAGTTGTTCATTTTATTAAAGGTGCTCACCCTGAAATTTTATTTGGGTCCACCTTGAAATATGAATTTCTTTATGTTAATCGTTCATTTTACGAAATGTGCTCACATTGAAATTTTATTTGTGTCAACCTCGTACGAAAATTTTTCGTTATTACTACATGTGCCCACCTTGAAAAATATTTCTGGATCCGTCATTGATCTCAAGTGACTAGTTTATTATATTAATATCTATAGGAAAATATCTTATGCATTAATTTACATTTTAACTGTAATTGTTTTATTATAAAAATAAATATTTCACCTAATAAATTTAACGAATTGATAAAAAAAAACATCACAAAACAAACGTAGCACCGAACAGAATTAAAATTGGATTCAAACCGCCAACAAGGCAACAACCCAACATGCATGGGCTGCATGTTTCACATCGTAGCAAGAAAATAACTTTAAATATTTTCAATTCCTTGTTAAATTTAGTACATTAGAATTTTTGGCCACTTAATCCTTCCCTCACTAACAGTGTTATGACATGGTTTTTTTTAACAAAGGAATAACCAAAAGAATCCAATGTATAAAGTTCAATGATTAAATTAAAAAAATTAAAAGTATATATAGTGAGTGAAATATGAGAAAGTAAAATTCAATGATTAAATTTGTAATTTACCCATTAAAAAATAAAACAGAAACATCATGATGCCGTTAGTGAAGAAAGAATTGAGAGACAAAAAGATCCAATATATTAAATTTAGTAAAAAAAATAAAAAAAATTAAAATAAAATAAATAAAATAGAAAATAGAGTAAAATTCACTTACCAAATTTATACTTTACTCAAAAACTAATCTATGACCTTATATTAATGTTTTTGTACAACTTGAAACGACTGCTTATATATAATTCTATGATATTGAGTGTGATAAAAAACATTTTCATCCATTAAAATAGTAAAACTTGCATTTGATTTTAAAGTAATATATACTTAAATGTTAATTAAATAGATCTATTACTTGTCACAAAGGTAGATATACCACATAAATTTGATTTTTAATTTGCTTGGTATATATATTAAATATATTATTATTTATTTATTTGAGAAAAGATTCATCATTTTTTTATTTGAGTATTAATTATTATATAAGATACCTAGAAAAACATTAAGTATGAGTAGGTGAATGTTACCTAATATGCAACAATATGCTGCATTGATTATTGTATTAATGAACAATTAATGCATGAAAAGTTGCTTTTCTCAACTTGAATTATTAATTACACGAGATGCGCGTAGTTATTAATGCAATTGCTTGTCATGCAAGCGTCTTCTTTAAATTGTAAAAAAAGAAAAACAATCTTAATCTTCTCCCCTCTCCTATGCAAAAATTCATCTCTTCCTATTGACATATTTTAGGTAGTAAATAATTTTTTAATAGTTTGATGTGATTACAAGAGAGTATTTATTCAGAATATTTTTTAATTACTAATACTATGTACACACCCTGAAATAGAAGTGTAAATAAACAGAGCGTTTGTTGAACTGTTTGTGAATTGTTCATATAACGTTCATTTATGATCGTTTGTTTAGTTAAATAAACGAGTATGAATAATTTTTTTATGTTCATTTAATAAACGAATGAACACAAACAAAAGTATGTTCAATTAGTTTATGTTCACAAACAAGCTCATTTATCGACTTTTTAGTTGAGGTTCATAAACAAGCTCGTTTATCAACTCGTTCGTTTATGTTCATGAACAAATTCGTTTATAATTTTTTAACATTTTAAATATTGGTGAATGTATGGTGGAATTTGCAGTTTAAACTATGAAGCTTAAGGAGTCTAAGTCCTAGTGGTGTAATTTTACCATTTTTCTTTAGCACTAGTTGGTTTTGTTTAATTTATGGATATATAAATGAACATGTTCACGAATATTAAACAAATATGTTCCTGAACACTAAATGAATATATTCACAAATGCTAAACGAACGAATACAAACACATTCAAAAACAAATAAACTTATATAAACATGATATTAAAATTTAAACGAATACGATCGAACATGAAAACCTATAAAAACAAACAAACACGAATACAACCTTATTCGTTAAGTTTCGATTCATTTGCACCCCTACTTGCAAACACAACTACTCAAACTCGTATCCTCTGAGGTGAATAACATTTCTTTTATCAATGAAATCACTCGATATATTTTAGATAATAAATGAATTAAATTTGAACAAGTATATATTTATTTATATTTAGAATACATATTCTTGGTACAGTTGCTATACTAAGTAGACCTCTCTCCCTCGTAAATTGCAGAATATTGATCATATAAGCATTTTCCTTCTCATGTCTTCTATATAATATATCAGCAGTAATGCCAATTGAGTTTAATCTCAATCCATAAAATTAATCAAACATAATTAATGGGTTGGTTCAAGTGATAACCAACTTGGTATTACTTAAGCAAGGTCTCAGGTTTGAGACCTTGCGTATGCAGAAAATTCTCGCTGAAAGACTCACCTACCAAAATCAGGTGTGTGATCCGGATTGATCCAGATTATTCAGGACGAAGCCTAGGAATTAGAGGGCAACCAAAACAATTAATCAAACATAAAAAATATTAATTTCACAAAATAAATATATTTCTTATTTTCTAGACAAATTAATTGTTAAAAAAAAGATCGTGTATTAATCCGAGAATGATATAAAAAAATAATAATGATAATAAAATAATTTTAAAATTAAATGGATAGAGTGATAGAACTAGTTTACTCTTATCTTAAGATTGTTATCCGAAAAAACAATTTCAGACAAAATCAATCATGAACAAATAAACCAAAAATGTTAAACTTCTTAGAAGATAAGATAAAAAAATGGAAACAAAATAATTCTTTTATTTTGATATATCGATCGAAATTAGTTGAGACTTGTCGTTAGACAGTTTCCTTAAGACAAATTTTTTGCCACTTCTTTGGTGCTCTAGTTCGTTGGTCGTCTATCTCCTAAGATACAACAACTTATTATTAGCTACAGTAGTACATCTACAGAGATCACGAACGATCCTTGCCTTCGACTATCATCGAAAAACTAGTGGAAGAAAGGAATATTTTTCAAGAAAAGAAAAGTTCTTGAATTCTCAGATGTTTTGAGATGTGAAAAATCGAAAATGTTTGCTCACTATTTATAGGAGATTTGTAAGAGAGATTTAATCTAACTTCAACTTTAAACATATAATAATATATTTTAATTTGAAATATTCAAAAGATAAAACTCCTTTTACCATTCAAACTTAAATATATATTATTTTAATTTGAAATATACAAAAATATATAAACAAATACATTTTTAAATTGACATATTTAAAGATTTATTGTAACACCCTCAACCCATACCCAACCCGGATACGAGTCCAGGATGTCACATTGACTAAACAAAACAATACTTTAAAAAACCGATAAAACATTCGAACTTATTTTATTAAAATACAATACTATACATATATTAATACAAGTTTATCAAAATAATCAGAGCATACATCACTTGACACTTTGATTATATGCCAACATTCATTTACATAACAAAAGGACCTACTGCTCAAGTAGCCTCTGATCTGATAGTTGCAGGAATAATGTTGTCCAGCTGCTTAACCTTGATCGTCTACTTTCTCGAATCCTATATGTGAAACACTCACACGCTAAGTCATCGACTTAGTGAGGCAATACAATAATAATGATAACAAAGAAATGTAATGGAAATGCCATAATTAAATGGAATAAGACGAAATCAAATGCTTAACCATGTAGTTTATATCA